TCATCTAGAAGTGTCGAATTAAGCTTCCACTGCTCCCAGCAAAAAGAATTTCTACGTTCTTCTTTACTTCGAACGCAAAAAGAGACCAAGCAGTGATGGCTAAAAGATACCGGGAGCACGCGATAATCATAACATAACGGCACCAGTTCCATCGAGACGTACGCTCTGTCTAATCGGGCGCGACTAGTCCCCTGAAAGTGGGTGAATTGGCCACCCCGCCCACTTCTAAGACATTCCCCTATATCTTCAAGACCAAACTCATTAATTATATTAATCAAACTAGCGGTGCTCACATCACGGTGCGGAGTAGAACTTGTTTTGTCGCTAGCAGAGCAAACAGTTGAAGTCGCCAAGAAAACAAAGAAGGCGCTCGCAATTACAAAACTGTTTGATGAAATCAAAAAACACCTGCCTTTCCTGAGCTCTCGTTGGCGCATACACACAGATTACGCGCCATTCGGAAGACGACAATAAAGAATCGCAAATTATAAAACGCCCCGACGCGCACGTCGTCACTGCCTGAATGGTAGCTCCCAAACACTTGCGTACAAGCAGGATACACCCTGCCGACGTCCCTACCGCATGGCTGACGCAGACGTCGTACCTCGCTGTAAAAGGCCGCACCATCAGTTCCGTCTGCTCCTCGCTCTCGACCTTCGTCTCCTGCACTGCGACAATATCCAAATCTCGCTCCGTCACGAGGCGGTATAGCTGGATCTGTCTCCGCCTTGCTGAGAGCCCTCGCACATTGAGAGTCGCAAGTCGCAGTGTTCTCTCTGTTGGTGAGGAGAGGCTGATCGAACGGCGCTTATCCTGAACAGCGTCGCGTCGGGCAGGGCACTACTGTGCGACGTACAGTCACAGGGCCTGCTTGTCACCGCGTGTAAACGACGATGCCCGTAGCTTGGCAGGGACACGTACACCCCTCCCGCTGCCGGCCTTCCATTGCTTCTCCAGCTGGCTAAGCCTTCGCTCTTGCAATGCTTCGAGGGCTTCGTCGTGACGGCGCTTTAGCGCTGTCCCGTCGACGTCCATTCCCGGGGTGTCGGCGTCCTCGGCGTGAGCAGGAACGACGTTCACCACCTTGCGTTATTCACCGGTTTTGGGGGACCACCGGCCCCGTCCCTTTCCGTGGTGGCCATCACGGCTGCTTCCTTGGTACCTTCGGGCTTGGCTTGGGTAGCCGCCGACGCCGCTGCCTGTTCCGGTTCTTCCTCGTCCATGAGCAGCTCGGCGCTGTCCGCCGCTCCTTCGGTGCCCGAAGGCGCGGCAGTCGGTGCACCTGGGGACCCGGCAGTCGCGCCGGATGTGCCCCGGGGTGCGGCACCTGAGACAGATCGGGGGTCTACCAGGAACCACCACCAGCACCGTGCCTCCGCCCAGACGCAGTTGGTGCTGGATGCGGTCGAGTGTAACGCCGTCGCGCAGCACCATGCGGACCAGCCGGGTTGTTGACTCTGCGTTCTCGAAGTCCGGCACCCTCCACTTCTCACTCGTCACCTCCTTGACGTCCCCGTACTCCGCGAAGGCTCTTCGCATGGTGTCGCCGGTGACGTCGAACGACACCCAGTGCAGCTTCAGGCGAAGCTCATGCCTTGCGGGGTCGACGACGAGGCACGTCTTGCCCTTAATGAGGAGCTGCCCAGCCTCGAGAAGCTTCTTCTTCGCCTCGTCCGTCCGCAGGTTAAGCAACCAGACATGCGACATCTGGTAGGTGCCTACCTCCCGGATTACTCCGATGTCTGGTAGGTGCCTACCTTCCGGATTACTCCGATGTCCTTCAACGGCTGCCGAAAATCCTCAATCCTGTAGGGACGTCCAGCGATGTCGCAGTGCAGTACTACCGCACGCTTCATCGCCTCACCGGACGGCAGCTGGGGCAACACAACCCTATAATCCGAGCGATCAGAAAACGACGAGTCACCACGGCCAGAAGCGGCCGTTATCGCAGCTCCACGGGAGCTAGCCATTCTTGCGTCCGCACTCGACGAGCACCGGAGGCAGAAACACATACATCCTACTTATTCAAACCGTGAAGTGCCCCGAGCGGTATATATGCCCTCCTATTTCGCGCATCGGTTAGCCCGGTGACCACGCTGGTCTTAATCAAGATATAAAAAGATTACGCCAATTTTATTTTTCAATACTATTTTTTCTGCATTTGTCTTAGGTAGGTATACATATCCCTTAATAACTTCTTACAGCATAATGTATTATAATGATACGCGCTTAACTTCTAGTAACTCAACGTGAGTGATGAGAGAAAAAAAATCGCTTGAATTCTGTCTGGCAGCTACACTCGCGGCTTGCTAGCTATGGCGACGCTGTCGGTACGTGCGCCGGCAGCCGTCCAGCTGGTTCGGCTGAGGCCGAGTGCGCGAGTCCGCGATGAACGCCGCGAACGCAATCGAGGAACTCATCGAGAAAACAAAGTGTCGACTACTGACGCTGTACGTAATCGAGTTTCCGCCCGTTCGCTCCCGAATTTTCTATAGTCTTTTTCCGCCCGCTCGAAAGGGAACCGCCTACCAATCCGACTACCGCCGTGGCTTCAGTGGCTTCATCTTCGGAGGGAACTGTCAACTTAGTCACGAAACGCGCGTGCGTCAAGCAGCGCTACGTGGCGGGGTCCACGCACAAAGTCGGTAAGTAAACAAGACACTCAATCCCGTTTCACTCTTTTTCTTTTTTATTTCTTTTAATTTACGGGGGCGCGCAGTGTTTCTGGGTGGCTCAAGGCATGAGAAAGCAACCGGAAAAATCGGCGCCTGATCGACCAGGGGTGAAAATTTCAAGGCGTATCGTATGCAAACGACAGCGTTTGCCGGCGAAAGACTCGGTCGTCCGTGGCGAACGCATGTTTAGTATTTTGAAGGATGTTCTAGCTGCAAAAGAAAGGCGCGCCTTAAAATTTCAAGGTAAAATACACTGCTGAGGAAACGACGCCCCTTTGCGTGCGGGCGCCGATTTTTCTGGCATAGTTTAGCGCGCTGTGAAATGCAGTGTGCACTTAGGGGGAGTTCTGGCATGATATAATGTTGCTCATTGGAAATAAAAAAAAGGAAAAAAAGGAAATGCTGGCATCATATTTTTACACACTCTTCGTTATTTTTGAAATCTTAAGTACCCTTTTTACGGCAGGTATTGGACGCCAGCACATTTTACAGAGGAACGAAGAGTGGAATCCGACCAATTCCCTTCCTCATTAACATCAAATGACTGCTGTGAAAGCAAAGACGTGAGGGTGAAACAGTCCCTGCAGTAGTAAGTGCCAGAAACAAGAAAAGTAACCTAAAGGGGAAAATATACTCCCTTGAAAAGGATCCAAAAGAAATAGAGGTCATCAGGTATATAGAGACACCGCCGAGCGTCACAGACCTGGACACTCCATTCCAGTTTTTTAAATGCCCATGCCCTGATGAGATGTTTACAGCGATATTTGAGGGGACCGTCCTTTATTCAACTCAATGACAACCTGAACACCCTTTTCGGGCTCTGGTCACACCTCCACGCAGGATGTCCTGCTCCAGATCAAGGTGGATGCCCTTGACAGAATCTCCTGTACGACGACGCGGGCGGTCCTGGCCCTGGATATAAAGGGCGCCATCGACCATGTCAGTCACATGCTCGTGCTTGAGAACCTGGCCTCGACTGGGTGCGGGCCCCGGATATATGATTATGTGCGGGACTTCCTGAGCAACTGAATGGCCACCATCGGAGTCGAGTCCATCCGCACAAGCACCATCCCGATCCTGAGCAAGGGCACCCGGCAAGGCTCGGTGCTGTCACCCACCTTGTTACCTGGCGATGTGCAAGCCGCCTCCTCTACTGGAACGGATTCGCCGGATGAAGCATACACTCTATGCCACTCTATGCGGACGACCTGACGATTTGGACTATGTCGGGATCGGACAGCGGGACGCAAGGCTTCCTCGAAGAAGTCATCGGGACGGTGCAGAACTACCTCGAGGCCGGCAACCTCCAGCGCACCCCCGATAAGTCTCAGCTGTTGCTCGTCCGCGCGGGCAAGCTAATTCCCAAAGAACAAGAAGGCGGACATCCGCCTCACGTTAAAGGATGGTACCCCCGTGCCGGTGGTGAAGCAGGTTCGGATCCTGGGACCTTCACCTCCAGCGGGACGGCGGAGCCTAGTACACAATCGACCGACTCGTCGAGACAACCACGCAAGTCATGCGCATGGTGAAAAGGATAACGAGTCACAGACACGGGCTCAAGGAGTCGGACCTGATCCGGCTGACCCAAGCACTCGTCGTGAGCCGCATCACCTGTGCAAATCCGTATCTCAACCTGCTGTCGAGAGGTAAGGGCACGATGGACGTGATTATTCGCAAGGCGTACTAGCTGGCACTGGGGGTGCCGCCGTACGCGTCGAACGCCAAGCTCCGGCGGCTGGGTGTAAACAACATTTTCCAGGAACTCATCAACATGCACCTAGCCAGTCAGTGGGTGCACCTGGCCCTCACAGTGAGTGGGCGGCACGTCCCGAGCTCGGTCGGCATCCCCATCCCCGCATCGCAATGTGAGGCTATCGAGCTGCTGCTGGCCCTTTGGGACAAGATCCAGGTAGCACCAATCCCGTGGAAGCTGAACCTATCCCTGCATCCAGGGCCCGTTTGCTCGAAGCTGGTTAACTCTAACCGCGGTTAAAAGTTAACCGCGTTTCCCTACCTAGGTACATCCGAGTACCTAGCCGCGTTCGACAAAAACTCAATGCACAATTTCTCCGTGTTTTATTATTATGCGGTAGCTCCCGCCACCTTCCGGTCAAAGCAAACAATAGCCTTTTAAGAAACTTTTTTGCTAGTTTTGTCTTTATTAAGAAAAATAAAAACAACATCGTATCACAATGTTTATTTTTATGCATGAAAATATATATGTACTTTAAAAAAATAATAAATATCTTGATGCATCTATTGTGCCGCCAAACACAGCATAAGTTTGCAGCGTTGATTTCGGATCTGGCAACGGTCTTTATAGATTCGTTGTTTTGTTCTCCGTATTTTGCGACGCACGTTTCCCGCGCTTTAGTTATCACCTGATTTTCACTGTTTGTCTTCTCCTGCCGTTTGCCCAACCGACCCTCCGACTCGCCCGCCGACTGACTACCGGACTGACTGACAACTGATTTGCGGACTGATTGGTGAAGATAAGGGACGCAATGTCGACTGTGACGCGACGCCGACAACGAAGAGAGCGCGTGTTCGCCCAGTACGCTGTTGTGATGATGGGACGGCAGCGTGTGTTCCGTGACCGCTTGAACCCTTTGGAGGAGTTCGATGAGGACGAACTGCAGGAGCGCTTTCGATTCGGTCGCGCGGGCATTGTGTTCCTCGCCGACACACTGCGCCCGGTCTTGGAGCGGCCGACGCGTCGCAGCCGCGCCCTCTCTGCAGAGCAGCAGGTCATTGTCGCCTTACAGTTCTACGCCACGGGGAACTTCCTCATCACCGCAGGGGACTACATCCGTGTGCACGTCTCCACTGCTTCGCGGACTGTGAGGCGGGTGACTCGGGCCTTGGCACGTCGTGCCCGAGACTTTATAGGGTAAGTGGTCTGGAGCATCTCTGGTGCGTCCCGATATTAGGCGCATGTGCAGGCCAGTTTTCCGAGAAAAAAAGCCTGGGCCTAGATTGCTCGATGAGCAATCACCATTATTTCAGAAACCCTTTGTATAGAAATTTCGGTGCGTGAATTGTGTTCGCTGAAACCGCCGAATTCGTTGAAGGTGGTCTTCTCAGCACACCTATTCTGCAATTTATTTACGGCGCACCACCTGCTCAATGACCCTTCCGTTTTTGTTTCCTAAGCTGTAGGCTTGCTAGCCTGAATATCTGCCAGCGCATCGATCCCCACGTATACTGGTACCTCCCTAAAGGAACATTAAAAGTGTTGCTTCAGCACTCGATATTTGTTCTTTGGTAATGAGCGTGACATGCAGACCAGTGAACTGGGCAGTAAAATTACACGAACCAACTGGAGTGTACAAAATGACTCCCTTAGTACCTATTATTGGTGCAGGTGCAAATTCAACTAAACTACAAATAAAGTAGGAGTGCAGACATTTACAAACAGCCTGGTTTCTGCACTCCCAACTATGCACTTGTTGCTACTGAGTTAGTCTTGCGGCTACTGAGTACTGTCATTGTGCAGACGAGGCTTTTATTGCTCACTATTGATGACGATGAATGATAGCTGTGTTATTTTGAAGCATGTGATCATAACAACAAAACCGTCACTGTTAATGTCATAGTGCTACAGACTGACTCAAATCCATCTACAATGCAGGTGGCCAGGTGAAGCTGAGGGTCATGCCTTACAACAGGCCTTCTTTGAGATCGGTGGGTTTCCTTCGGTCGTGGGTGCTGTTGATGGCACTCACATTCGGATACAGGCACCACAAGTGCATGAGGAGGTGTACGTTAACCGCCATCTGTACCATTCAATAAATGTACAGTTAGTGGTTGACGTCTTTTACCGTATCCGCAATGTGGTTGCAAAATGGCCTGGAAGCACCCACGACTCTAGGATATTCACCGAGGGCTCGTTGTCAGGCAAGCTGGCCGATGGCGTTTACGAGGGCCTACTGCTTCGAGACAGCGGCTACACCTGCAAGCCATGGCTGATGACGCCCTTCCAGTCTCCGTCATCAGCAGCGGAGGTCGCCTACAATGCGTCACATAGCACAACGAGGAGCATCGTGGAACGGTAAAGCCAGGCTATGCGTCCTGGTTCGACGGTTCAGTGTTTCGGTACCTTGAGGCACCTAACCTTTTTTATATGGTTGTGCCTCAGCTTTACATATGTTGCCATTTTTATGTTCTTGCATAGTAGGCTACGGCTGCTCAGAAGCAAGAAGAGGAAGGCGTATCTCTACCACACCTTATTTATACTACGGGCTATAACCTACTGCCATAGCCTGAAATGTTTATTCTAAGGTTAGCCAGAATTGTGGGAATGAAGAACATCAATTCACAAAATTCAACCATTAGCCAGTTAACTCTATATGTCACCATAATTGTTATATTTCATTTGCTCTTTTCTGTTTAAACTCCAAAATAGAAGTTAGAACTTCTCTGAAACATATCCTTCCTGTATGACTGGGTTTATTAACCTACAGGTTTTTACTAGCTGTTTATACTTTTCAAACAATAGCAGTTAATTTTTTTGTTACTCTATATTGCCTAAATGTAAAGCAATTCTTAGAAAAAAAAACAGCTTGCAATGTGAAAAAAAAAACACTGGCTTAGGCAGGTTTTGTTTTTAGACAGTTTGTGTACAGACTTATTCAAGCATATGTTATTAAATACTGCTTATCTCAAACTGCATTTTCCTTGCAAGTTTTTGCGAAGAACATTTTCATTATATCTGTGATTGGATTGCTGCGCCATTTGCACCAAAGTGATTACCCTGCTACGTCCTGCCACATTTAACAAAAATGTGAGGAACTTGCACCAACGCAGCGCCAAAACTTAATTTCATTTTAATAATACTGAAAATATTATAGCTCGGGCTTCGCTGCCCAGCCGGACCGTCACGATATGCTTACGCAGGTTTTCAGGTTTTCAAAACTTTTGATTATCGTCTCGTATACCATACTATTCAATCACATTTCGTATGAATGACAGGCAATATCTGGAAGTTTCGCAATAATTTTTATGTTAGTCGTCTGTTCATTCTGGAGGGTTAGCTATAGTCCGTTGCAACCTAAGAACGAAGGGCGAGGGTAACGAGGAAGAACGAAGGGCGCATGCCGACCTCATTAGATGTTCTTATAAACCACTTCAAAAGGATAACAGATCTTGCTCTATTTATACACTGTGCAGGACAATAGGCCAGCTCAAGCGGAGATTTCATTGCCTCCATGCTGAGTTGAGGATGCAGCCAGAGAGATGCTGCGACATCACTGTTGCCTGCTGTGTTCTGCACAACCTGGTCAAGACACACCCCTGCAGCATGCCAAGGACTGTCCTCCCCGAAGAGGTTCCCGTTGAGCCCGTGGCAGCGGGCCGTGATGAAAGCAACGAGGCTCGGGATGCCATCGTCAGCCAGTTCTTCGGTTGAGCGTAAGTATACCAATATATTGCACATGCTGCTTTGCATGGTCTTGAGTACCAGTGCATTGTGCTTGTTTTTAATTGATCAAACATTGGAATACCAAATGTTGCTTCTGCGTTAGGTTGGAAGAGAGTGGAATTTTCACCCACGCCGTCCCCACATATTACGCTTGACTACTGCTGCCGATTATCCCGGCGCAGCGGGAACACAAATACCGTAGGCTATGGTTCAGGGAGATACGAAGATAAATTAGGCAAATGATAAAATTAGCCAGACGATCTTCCGATCAGTACATGCAAGGCAGGCTTTTAGTCTTAGCGGCAACTGAGGCGCGTACGAGGCTGATGGCGGTACGGACAGAGCACACGGAGATGGATCAGCAGTCAAGATTCCTTGAGCGTCGCAACTATTCGTGCTGTGACAAGGAACTAGAGCAAAAACCCTGCAAGCAGGCGGAGCCGCCGTTAGTTCTCGATAAGCAGATGAAAAACTTGTCTTCGCATGACACGTTTTGGCGCACAGATATGTTTGACGGAGCAAATATACCACATGGTTTCAAACAGGCTCGTGATTGGACCCGGCGGCGTGTAACATTGGGCTTTAGTCCATCGTAGGACGAGACGGAGTATAGGAGGCTTTGTCATATATATATACATTCAAAATGAAAATTAAAAACAGCGTAATATGTCAACGTTTACTCTTCTCCTAATTGTTTTTTTAACAATTTGATTTCCAATTCTGCACGCTGTGTTTCCAGTCGAATTAAACTTTTTTGGTCCTCTAGTAATTTTTTTGACTGCTGGTAGAACTCCTCGGCAGCAGTTGCTGCTGCAATTGTTGCCGTGGCAGCTTGCTTAACCATTTCTGTGCTCTCCTTCTCCAGCAGGAGATTAGCTCCCTCGAGCTGCTGCTGCCTTTCCGTCTCCTGCAAGAAGCGCTGTGAAGCCTCCCGGCACCAACGTCGGCTGTATGGCACATTTGTTGGAGCCCGCTGCACCGCCTCCAGCGGCCGACTCTCGTGCAGCACTGCCGCACTTGCTCCGCTCCTAGAGGGACCAGGCTGTGGATCTATTCCCCTGGAGCTGTCACTGCGACAAGTGCATGTGTAAAAAGTGGTCAGGTTTTGTTCTTGTCAGCATGGGCAAAGAGAACACACTGTGCAAAGTTTGTAACCCTGATAAAGACACCGATGCTGCGCCAAAATTCATTCATACGGGTTGGTGTAGAGGACAAAGTTTGTGAGCTAAGTTGGTTTATACACTGACGCACAGGCTTGAGGTCGGAGCGCAGTGTTGTTACTTCTTGCACAATTGCCCAGTACATGGTGTGGGAAAATGTGCATTTGGTTGTGAAGAGCATTTGCAAGCATGTGTGCGTACACTTTCACTGCTAAAGGTTAGAATGCAGCTGTGTAGCTATGCGATTAACAGTTCATAAATTTAGTGGTCACATGTCCAGTCAATCCACGTTGCACTGCACATTTATAGGACAACTTCAAACATTACAGCACATAGCTTCACTGGCATTGATTTTACTCACACAGGTTACCATCATGGGGGTAGTTAACTTCCCGACGAGAATGAAGTTAATGTTTGAGCCAATTTTCCTAAGTTGGTAAAACAAGCAACAGGATGGTTGTACTGTGTGTGATCTCTTAATTGGCATATTGAAAGCGTGCTACAGTTAGCATAAAAAAAAAGCCATTGCCACTTTGTTGCATTTAATTTCTATAAGATGGTAATAAACAGCTTTACCACCTGATTTCTCATTGCATGCCGTGTTATTTCATGAATTTGTGGCTTCGGTGAAACTGTTTCAGCCTTGTTGAAAATAATTAGAAATGTGGTAGCGCTGGTGCCTCGTCAGATCTTAGAGTGCACTCTGGAAGACGGTTTCGTGACTTATATTTCGAACCGCCTTTGAGCTTTTGTGGTTGAAATAGAACTGAAGCCAGATTCCCGGAACTTTCTTACGACAAAAAAGTTAGTAGCTTTATCTTATGACAAATTTACGAACTTTTAAGTATTCCCGAAGCACAAAGTTCGTAAGTTTTGCGCAAGCTACAGATTTCGTCGGAACTTGCGCAAAACTTACAAACATTTTGCTTCAGGAACACTCAAAAGTTTGTAACTTTGTTGTAAGATAAATTTACTAATTTTTTTGTTGTAAGAAAGTTTCGGGTATCCGGCCTCTCGTCTTTATATAAAAGTACTCGGCAGTAATGCTATTCAAATGGCAACATGCCCATCTTGTTATCATCATTTGTCCTCGTCTTTTCGAACCTCGCCTGGAACGACAGTTCTGCATTACTGTGACCGGTTCCTTAAAACAATTTACTCGTCACACAATCGGGTCTAGAAACCAGTCACCTACACTTCCGTGTCACCTATGGTGGCCTCCAACCCGCACAGGTTGGGCGAGTCCTCGCCGATCACTTCGAGGACGGCCTCGACGAGGGGCGTCAGGACGTGGGGGTTTGGCCCAGCACCTATGAATTAAGGCGTAGTAATTTCGTCTCTACTCTTACTTACTCGAGTTACGAGCAAAAACAGAGGAGGTGGGGTTCGCTGTTCAACCAAGTATGTAAATGAAACTTTCATGGGAAAATTAAAATAAACAAATACTGCATGAGACATTCTTTTAAACGTTCATTAATTGCTAGATACCACTGCTGAAACTGTGGACTGTGTAATCGTGCAATTTTTACTTTCTTGCAGTTTGGCCTGTCGGCCTCGACCATTGTGCTCTCTTATAATCTGTTTTAACATTTTGTCCGAAGTTTTGGGTCTTCCACTGAACTGTTTTATAAGTTCCATACAGCCTGTGCAGAACTTGTACATAAACTGGAATAAATTGTTTTCTGATGCTGTAACACTGCTTTTGCTGCTGTTCTAGGAAGGTGAAAAGTCGACTCCCAGCAGAGGGCAAAGGTGAACGAATATACAAATGTCCACATTCACGTTTCTAGGTTTGGTTGCTCATGTATTATCACTAAAGCAATGCAATATCTTTTGAACTTAAGAACACAATGAACTTACCGGTGCGCTGTTCATGCTTCTTGAATAAGCTGTAGAGTTGTCTAGTCTTTTTTAGGAGGTTTCTCCAGCACTGTTGTAGCTGGTCTGGGGTGCGCAAACAGCCCGTGGCTCTGTAAATTTCGTCCCATGCCTGCCTTTTTGTTTGGGTCGTGACCGTAGCACTGAACTTGGCCATAATTTGATATTTCCTCTCCCCCACTGCCCGAATTGGTTCCAATTGTTCATCCAATGACCAATTCCTCTGCCGTTTCATGGTGATGCTGGCATTCGCCTGACTCATTTTAGATTTCAAATTGGTTGTGATCGTCTGCTACGTAATTATGTCTCTCTTTATAATCCTAATAAGACATCTAGTTATCTGAAACAAAATAAATTGGAGAAAGACAAGCGCAAGAGAAAATATGCACACTTCTTTTCCGATAGAAGCTTTGTTTATTTCCCAGTTGTACAAGTTCGCAGACGACAGTACCGAAGTTCGATCGAATGCCGTGCCGGCATCCGTGCCGGCAGCTTCTATTGAGGTAACAGATCTTTGCTTCTGAGGCAAGTTTTTAGTTTACATCTTGCCTTCGTTGAACCGTCTCCCGCTAAAGGGGGTCGTCGGTGTTGTGGATGCGCTGCAAATACAATACACGGCGAACTGTACTATAAACCAGACTCCGCGATTAGAGGCCGTTTTTCGGAGAGATTTGTTGCACTAACGTGCGATTGGGGCTCGAGGTAGGTTTTAAAAGTGAAAAAAAGAAAATAAAGCTGGACGTTGATTACAACGCAAGATCTGCTGACATGAAATTTTGATAGCGGTACAATCTCATAACTTTCTCGTGAAACATCGCGGCACTTACCTAGGATATATGTTTTGAAGATCCCGCTGACTGTAGCATTCAATAAAACAAGTCCACTTCAGAGGGCGATGCGTGATCTTATTCAAACTTGACGAAACCAGTCAGGCGTGGCCGTGCTCCCACAGCATGCTCGCCGTCAACTCCGACTGTAGACTTTGTGTTGAAATGTTCTTTTCGTGGCACGAGGATGACGCATCTTCGTAAAAATAGATGTTCCCAAGCGTGACGAGCGGCCGTAGCAGCCATATTGGCCATATTGTCTGATGCTAGGTACTATTTTACTCCGGCGTCCCTACTCTGCAGGTCACGTGACCTAAAATTCCCCCTCGTAGGGAAATCCGGTTAACCGCGGTTAGTTAACCAGCTTCGAGCAAACGGGCCCAGGTCGTTTGATGGCTCCCGGTCCCTTGATTCCGCTTGGTCCCGTCATGTAGCATAGGGCCCCTGGTAGAAATTTGTTGCTAGCCCAGCATTTAAGCATAGTCCAGCCTCTTTGTATGTAAAGCAAAACAACTACTGCAACTGAATACTTCTTAACTGATGATAATCGAAGTTTGCACTGCTCAATGCCCTTCCGTTTTATCTAAAGTCACGCAACTAAGTACTCCAAATACCGGTTGGAGCACTGTGGTGCAGGTGAAGTTTCTACTTATAAAAAAATGTCTGGCCAAAAGCTTGCTTCGGTAACACGAGCTACAACAGGAAGCCCGATTGAGAGGCTTTAAGAGCAAGCTATATGCTTTGAATGTTGCTAAGCATGCGTGCTTGTGCCGTTCAGGACAACGTGCTCGTTCTTGGCGTTTCGGTTTCACTTGCACTTAAAGGGATGTTGAATCGAAATCTGGATTCCACAAAACACGGCGGCAAAAGCGTGTAACAAGAGGATACAAACACCAAAACATCACTTATACAGCGATATCTTGAACCGATGACCTTATTTTTTAAAAAAAAGGAGGCGCTTTTAACAGATTTGTTTGTCTTGTTTCTTCCAGAAGGAGAGGGAACGACCTCACATCTTCTCCGCCTCGCCGCCTTGAGGGAGCGAAGCGGAGAGAGGAGGAAACTAGGTATCTCGACGTCACGCGCCTCATCGGCCTCGTTCAATCTCAACCTCTTTTTCAAAAAATACGGCCGTCCATTCGAGATATCGCCTTATGACTACGAGTAGTGTTGTAAGGATTGTAGCGTCCTGCCTACGGCTTCTTCATCGTTTTCTGAAATCCAAATTTCGGTTCATCATCCCTTTAAAGGGAAACGGAGTGTGGCAGTGATGGGATGATTTCTTGTCTTCAGCCGAAGTTGCCTACCATTACCACTGTAGGGCAGCAAAGGCTACAGGCATGCAAGAGCGACTTTGCAAAGTGCTTTCGCAGAACAAGAGCTTGCGATAGAGCGTGTACTAGCTCGCACTTGTCGCCTTCGACCACGCTGTCACCCTGGCAAGCCTTCGGCAACACCTTCAGAATGCCCGCATTCTTCAAGAAAGCCATAATGTTATGAATATACCACAACAATGCCTGGCTTTTATTTTTTTCTAAAAAAGAGCATTTCTGAAGCTTTGAAAATGCAGCAGTGCACGCTGATTACCTTCGGTACTGCTTAGAACGTGCTCACTCATGCTCACTTTATCCAGGCTGAAAAGCTTGTGCTGGGACGGGGCATGTTGAACACTGGTGGTGTCTTGACTGAAGTAATAGACAAAGTATGAACAGGAGCGATAAAGAAACACAACATTTAATGCCAGTCATCTCCACTTTTAGAAAGTATCTTAACATAAGATTAATTTGACATTTCGTAGTAAGGGTGCTGAATTCCAGACTTGCTGACGCAAACGGTTTTGATAAAAACGTAAAAACAAAATGTAACTACTCGATGCAGGTGCCTAATAGTTTGACGACTAACAAACAACAAAAAGGACTAGAGAAATGTGATGAATATAAACGAATAAGGCTGGTCATGAATTGAAGCATACTTAGGTATGTGAGCCACACAACTTGCAGCTGCCATCTCAAGAAAAACAATCAAAGCCTTTAGTGATTTTGAAAATCGAAACATTCCTGGCAGGAGTTTCAGACTTTGGCGATCGCACCATCTGATCAGCAGTCAGACTACAGGTGTTTCCTTGATTGTAATAATCACCTTGATTGCAACTGGCCGTAGCTGTGAGTAGATTAGAATAAGACAAAGCTTCTCAAGAAGGCAGCTCGTATTGTACGTCTTCTGGCCATGGGTGAAGCCGAAAAGCCAGTAGGCCGCCATGACCAGAGTAAAGCCATCCTTCGCATCTTGCACTTCGAAAAGCCAAACTGGATCAACGTGTATATTCATGCTCT